ATACTATGACAAAAACCTTTGTACATGGTTAACTCAATTAAGTAAGACAATTAGACATTGTTTATTGTTAGTAGACCCTGTATTACAAGCATACTATGACAAAAACCTTTGTACATGGTTAACTCAATTAAGTAAGACAATTAGACATTGTTTATTGTTAGTAGACCCTGTATTACAAGCATACTATGACAAAAACCTTTGTACATGGTTAACTCAATTAAGTAAGACAATTAGACATTGTTTATTGTTAGTAGACCCTGTATTACAAGCATACTATGACAAAAACCTTTGTACATGGTTAACTCAATTAAGTAATAGACATTGTTTATTGTTAGTAGACCCTGTATTACAAACATACTATGACAAAAACCTTTGTACAACAGTTAATCACTATTTTGTGTAAAAAAATTACTGGCTAACTAGAGAGAAACAATAAATGTGAAAATAGCTATGCACTTGTATAAGTGTCTAGCTATAGTCCAGTTATTATTTTCCCAATGAAATTAAAACATGACCATGCACAAGTACCTGTAATAATGGTGTTCCCCTCATAATTAAAAGCACAACTGAAGATTTCATCAGAGTGTCCTTCCAGTATTTGTTTACATGCGCCTGTCTCAGGGTCCCAGAGCCTTGCTGTTTTATCTGAACTTGCTGTAAGCACAGAGGTCCCTTGTGGATTAAAGCAGATCTGTGGAAGAGAAATTGAATGTATCCATTAAATCTTGAGTCAGGTAGGATTTAGAGGGAAATGAGCTGAAGTTTATTTGTTAGATTTAGATTCCAATTTAATCTGGATATGTAACAAGAGGCCCATGGGCCTTAACGGTCACCTGAGTCTATAGTATTTATTTTTGTTGTTGAAATATGTACCAATTTGAGTAAAAAATAGTATAATGTTAACTTAACTTTGTCAGGACCATGAGCTGATCATTCCTAGACCAATTTTAAGTGAGATCGGCCTATTAGAACTTAGTAGCAAAATAGCGGCCATGGCAGCCAAATTGTATTTCTGATTGACCCGAAAAATAACAACACTTTGTCAGGACCATGAGGCGATCATTCCTACCAACTTTCAGTTCAATCGGTCCAGCAGAACTTGACTTTAAGTTTGAAATAGGTTTTCAAAATGGCGGCCGTGGCGGCCATATTGGATTTCTGATCGACCCGAAAAATAACAACACTTTGTCAGGACCATGAGGCGATCATTCCTATCAACTTTCAGTTCAATCGGCCCAGCAGAACTTGACTTTAAGTTTGAAATGTAAAATGTTAACGGACGACGGACGACGGACGACGGACGACGTACGACGGACGACGGACGACGGACGACGACGGACGAAAACGGATAGCAATAGGTCACTTGAGCTAAAGCTCAGGTGACCTAAAAATCTTAGTACAGAAAGTGAAGTTTTCTAAAATTATATTTTCTCTTCAAACAAAAAACTATTGGCTTTCACTTGACTGCATAGATCTGTACTGAAGTACAAAAAATCTAATTTGTTTTGTTTAGAAATACAAACAAGAGGCTCAATGGGCCTGCATCGCTCACCTGGTATACATCTCACACTTGTAACCTTAAAAGTGATCTTAAATAAAGCTAAAGGCAAAATATCAAATCAGAAATATATAATGTATTATATATGTGTAGCTGTGACAAACTCGGCAGTACATTCAAATATATTTATATTGGTTTGTTCATCACAATCACCACAGCCAGATAGAAGTACATCCAGAGTGTAGTGATTGTAATTAACATCAAATAATTTATCCTTGAGGGTTTTACGTGGTTCATCATACTTATTACAAATGAGAATACCTCTACTGAAATAGTCATACCTGACCTTCCATACTTTAATATATCACTCTTGAATTAAACTATAATAATTCTTCATCCTGTTAATACCTCTACCTTCCAAAATGAAGTCATGTTTTAAACTAGAAATTATTCCTTATTTACCTTGGATATTTCTCCCTCATGCCCTTCAAGTTTGGAGACGAGGATGTGAGTTGTGGCATTGTAGACACGGGCAGTCGCGTCAGCCGAGGCGGTCAATAGGTGCTGTCCAGTGTAATCAAACCCAACGTCCAGCACTTCATCCTCATGACCACCTAACGTCCTAATACACTTCCCTGCAGGGAACATAACAATCTGTCAGATCAGTCTTAGGATAACTCATTACCACTTCATAGACTACGTGCACTTACGTTGTAATTTAAGTTCACTTTAATGATGTTTCTTTTCATGTTTGATCGTTTTACCTGAGATTTCATGAACTGAAGACGTACTTTAAATTGACGAAAATAAATTTTGTTTCATAAAATAACTAGAACACTGACAGGTCAGTAAGGGCCCCGTCTTGTGGCAATATATCCCCCATAATCATCAAGAAGCAATCTGCCCATATAGCTGAGCTTGACGTTTGACATTTTGACTTCAAAAAGAATTGCAAGGAAGCAAAATATACATTTTACATGTACTATGATGTGAGCCTTGTTTTCCTTCCACCTCCATATTTGCTGGGCTAACAGAAATATAAATACCGGTGCAATACTCATTTGTTAGCTTTGATTTGTTTTATTTCACCATATATACCTCCTCCATCAAGAGCCAGGGTCAAAGTCAGAGATTCACCTTGTCTTTGACCTTCGGACCCAAATGACCTTGACCATTAACCCAGTGACCCTGATCTTTGGTCAGTTGACTTATTCTTTAATTCCGACCAACTTTGCTTCATAATATCATAACAAAATGTTCATCAGTGAAAAATACAAAACTTGACCTTGACCCTCTTAACCTGGACCTAAGGTCAGTTGACTGTGTGTTAAGTTCTGAATAAGTTTGCTACATAATAACATAAAAAAAGTTCATCAGTAAAAAGATACAATAATTGACCTTGACATTGACCACGTGACCTTGACTTAAGTCAGTTGACTCCTTTTTAAATTCGGACCAACTTTGCTTCATAATGTCTTAACAAAATGCTCATCAGTGAAAAGATGCAAAATTTGACCTTGAGCTTCGACCCAGTGACCTTGCCCTTTGGTCAAATGACTCCTTGTTTAATTCCCACAAACATTGCTTCAAAGTACATAATGAAATATTCACCAGCAAAACAATACTATATTTTACCTTGACCTTTGACCGAGTGACCTTGACCTTAAGTCAGTTGACTCTTTGTTAAATTCCGACCAACTTTGTTTCATACAGTCATAACAAAATGTTCATCAGGGAAAAGATACAAAATTTGAATGTGACCTTTGACCCAGTGACCTTGACCTTTGGTCAATTGACTCCTTGTTTAATTCTGACCAACATTGCTGCATAATGTCATAACAAAATGTTCATCACGGAAAAGATACACAATTTAACCTTGACCATTGACCCAATGACCTTGACATTTGGTCAGCTTGACTCCTTTTTTAATTCGGATCAACTTTGCTTCATTATGTCATAACAAAATGTTCATCTGTTAAAAGATGCAAAATCTGACACTGACCTTTGAATCTAATGAACTTAACCTTTGACCTCAACTTTTAACCTCAGTGTGTCTCTTTGTTTAATTCCAAACAACTTTCCTTCATAATGTCATAAAATGCTCATTAGTGAAAAACTACAAAATTTGACCTTGACCAGTACACCTGACCCGATGATCTTGACCTTTGGTCAGTTGACTCCTTGTTTAATTCTGAGCAACATTGCTTCAGAGGGGGATACCAAAATGTTGGCCAGTGAAAAGATACAAAATTTAACCTTGACCTTTGACCCAATGACCTTGACATTTGGTCAGGTTGACTCCTTGTTTAATTCTGATCAACTTTGCTTCATTATGTCATAACAAAATGTTCATCTTTTAACAGATGAACATTTTGTTATGACATAATGAAGCATGACAAAATCTGACACTGACCTTTGAATCTAATGAATTTAACCTTTGACCTCAACTTTTAACCTCAGTGTGTCTCTTTGTTTAATTCCAAACAACTTTCCTTCATAATGTCATAAAATGCTCATTAGTGAAAAACTACAAAATTTGACCTTGACCAGTACACCTGACCCGATGATCTTGACCTTTGGTCAGTTGACTCCTTGTTTAATTCATAGCAACATTGCTTCAAAGTGTCATACCAAAATGTTCGCGAGTGAAAAGATACAAAATTTAACCTTGACCTTTGACCCAATGACCTTGACATTTGGTCAGCTTGACTCCTTGTTTAATTCTGATCAACTTTGCTTCATCATGTCATAACAAAATGTTCATCAGTGAAAAGATGCAAAATCTGACACTGACCTTTGAATCTAATGAACTTAACCTTTGACCTCAACTTTTAACCTCAGTGTGTCTCTTTGTTTAATTCCAAACAACTTTCCTTCCTAATGTCATAAAATGCTCATTAGTGAAAAACTACAAAATTTGACCTTGACCAGTACACCTGACCCGATGATCTTGACCTTTGGTCAGTTGACTCCTTGTTTAATTCTGAGCAACATTGCTTCAAAGTGTCATACCAAAATGTTCGCCAGTGAAAATATACAAAATTTGACCTTTGACCCAATGACCTTGACATTTGGTCAGGTTGACTCCTTGTTTAATTCTGATCAACTTTGCTTCATCATGTCATAACAAAATGTTCATCAGTGAAAAGATGCAAAATTTGACCTTGACCTTTGAACCTAATGACCTTGACCTTTGACCTTTACCTTAATGTGTATTTTATGGAACTGAACATCTTGACCAAGTTTCATGTACATCGGTCAATAAATACCAAAGTTATCAGCCAGGAACAAAATTTGTGGACGGACAGACAGACAGACAGATTGATTACTATAGGGCACCCGTATCTCTGATACGGGGCCCTAATTAATTTCCTTACTCTAAGAGAAGTGTTTTTTTCAATAAAAGTCAATACCATAATTATGTCTGTAAACTTTCCCAGTCCATGGCTAAAGGTCCATTTTCAACATACTTGGTATATATACATCTATGTACAACAGTCTTTCCTTTTCAATACTTTTTGGTTAATTAATAGCATCAATTTTATATCAAATTTGATGAGACTGAATTACATATTTTAGTGTCAAGATGTTACAACAGTTATGTTAGTATTTAAACAATTTAAGTTCAAACAGACAATCATACACAGCAAGTAACATCAAGTAAATGTATAAAATACTGTGAGGGAGACATGAACCTGAAGACGCGTCCCAGATGCGGCATGTTTTATCCATGGAGCCAGTGGCTATCAGAGAACAGTCGTAGTTAAACTGCGCACTGCTGATCTCTGCCCGGTGGCCTATCAACGTATGAATTTTTCTGAAAACACACAAAATCATATTTAAATTTACAAGCACATATGACTTACTAATGTAAGGATTACACAATATTATATTAATCAAGTCAACATGACACTTAAATGGTCCAAGATATGCAAAATCATACATATTACTAGATGGTACTACCATATAGGTGGTGTATGATATATGTGAGATCTATATCAGGCTGTAAAGCCTATCTTTGGTGGGATTAACTCCTATAGATATATATCTGGCAGAAATATGATATGCGATTGTTATATTAGACATATACTATATTATACTACTTAAGCAAAACACAATATTACAGTATGACTTTGACCTGCAATGATTGTATAGACTATAAACAAGACACATTAGACCTTAGTGTGGGGCCAAGTATATTACCTAGACATGTTTATTCCTTTGATCTGTGGTGTTTGCATAACCTCTGACCAAGACATAAGACCTTAATGTTTGCTGTCTCTGTGACCTTTGACCCTGTTATTCATGACCTTGACATGTGTTGCCTGTTTAACCTTGTATCAAGGCAATGTCTGACCTTGACTTGTGTTAAATCTGACCTTGACATATTATATGGCCTTGACCTATACCTACTTTCCTGAGTTGACATCCCACACCGATACTGTGTGATCAAACGATCCAGTGATGAGGTGACTACCAGTTGAGTTAAAGGATAGGGAGATGATTTCAGCTGAATGACCCTACAAACAGAAACCATAAAACTGTAAACAGTTCTATACTACAGAATGACCCTACAAACAGAAACCATAAAACAATGAACAGTTTCATACTTCAGAAGTTCCTGTTATCAATATAATAAGTTATAGAGGCAAAATAAAAAGAATGAAGGAATTAAATTTACATTTGTACTAAATTAGTACAAAAAAAGTCAGTAGAAATGTTAAAAAGTTAAACTTAAAATGCAAACACTTTTCCAAACTGTGCATTTCTCCTGTCGTCCATTTGTAATGAGATAATATTGAAGTTTTAACAAGTTAAATGGTTGTATTTACAGAGAGAGTTCCCTTTTCCTGCCCTGTTTCTACATCCCACAGTTTGGCAGTGGTGTCCATGCTGCCGGTGGCAATCACAGAGCTCTGGGGGTTAAAGCTCAGGCAAACCTGTAAACATACAAGTTACAATACAATATATATTGACATACAAGTTACAATACAATATATATTTACATACAAGTTACAACACAATACAATATATATTTACATACAAGTTACAATACAATATATATTTACACATTTATAGTGCCACTTCACTTTAATGCTACAGCAGATACCGCAACATCCATCCCAGATCATTTTATACTCCACCTGGGTTGTTTGAGTTGTGTGGGCAGGGGGAAAGGAAGGCGTGCACGTGGAAGGCCAGAGTATTAACCACTCGACCAATTTGCCCATACAGTATGCATTACAAGTCAAGTGCATAACTTCTTGGCAACAAAAATTAATTGCCTTTCCACAATTTATCATCCCCTCCCCCAAGTTTTGATAGTTGTATAGATACCTGTGTATATAATTTGAAGTTAGAGCTATCCAATTCATACCTTTCTGCCTTCTATATAGACATGACAGAAAGCACATTCAAAATTGGATTGTCATACAAAAGATTTGATTAAGGGTCTTTCAATATCCACCAGTAGATCTTTTTTTAGATGCACACTACCCATTTACTGATTGCAATTATGCATTTTCCAAATGATCAGTCAAGTACCCTATGAGTGATTAGTGTCGTAAGAGTATTATCTTATTTTTTAAATCAGGTTTAACACCAACAAAGTGTGATCTTACACTTATTGTAGTTAGATCAGAACACTTGTAGCAGATAAGCTCTGATGTTAAGCAGATACAAAAAAAAGATATACTATACGATGAGTACTAGACTGATGACCATTCCATGGATGGATCCAATGTTTGATCGCTTTGTACAAAATGGAAAGAAATTCTGACAATGTTTTTTTTTTTTTAGAAAAAATATGATACAATAGCTTGTAACAGGTAAAACTCCTTACACCAGCATATCAGACTATAAAAACGTATTAATCAATTCTAGTATATTAGAGCCATTGTCCTATTTTATCAGTGTGCTGTGTAGGTGGTTCCTACAGGTAGGCAAGGCAGCTGAGGAACAGGAGTAAGAAAAATAACAAGTAATTCAACCACAACAAGGTCGGGGAAAGGCTCTTCAGTTCATTACATTGAAGATTCTTACTCCCCCTTCATTGCCATTGATCAACTTCTTCAGTTAAATATCTATATAACACTAATATACAATGTCTGACCAAGTAAATATACTTATAACATAAATATACTGTGTATTTTCACTTACTATTTCAGCAGTATGGCCCCGGAATGTATGAAAACACTTGCCCGTCTCTGAACTCCACAGCTTACATGTTTTATCAAAAGAACCAGTGGCAATCTTGTCTCTGAAATAAAACATAATAATAATCAAATTCCTCTTTATCTTTACATTTTTAAAAGGCTGAATTGTCAGGCAACACAACATAATTATGTAATTACAATGTAATAAACAACGGGGGATCTAACAAAGTTTAATTTGACCGTGGACATTTGTGAGACAGTCTTGCACTCATAACTCACTGCTTGGTTCAGAGGACAAAGCATGACTTAATGTTTTAAGCACATACAGTGAACTTTCATTTCATTTTTATTATTTTCTTCAAATGCCAAGATTATAATTTACAATTATTTAGCAAGCAATATAATGTACAGTATTTTTGTTGCTTTAAGGTGTTAATTATGATATACTGACTCTTTCCAAGAAAACTACACACTCTAGATCCTCAGCGCCTAATACACCTACATAGAATATATAAAATGTAGATATCATTATAAATGTTCATGTTAAATGAATTGTTTCTTTTACCTGTATACACAGGTTACTAAAAGTCATAAAATACTACCCACAGGAGTTATGAACTAAGGCAATGGAACATTGACTTGTATGGGTTATTCCGTCTTTCGTATTGCAGAGTTATCTTCTCTTGTGAGCAGGTATTGATTGTTACGTCATTGGTTTGTGCGAGAAAATTATGTTGTTTTCTCAAAAATTGATGACGTTTCTGTCACAAACAAATGATGTAACAATCAATACCTGCTCACAAGAGAAGATAACTCTGCAATACGCAAAGACGGAATTGAAGGTGATAGAATACTTAACCCTAGGGATTATTGAAGGTAATAAAATACTGTACTTACTCGTATAGGTTATTGAAGGTGACAGAAGAATTAACCTTAGAGATTATTGTAGCTGATAGTATACTTAACACTAGGAACTTATAATTACTCGTATGAATACTTCCTTTGATGGGTTATTTAAGGCTACATAGATTTCTTAAGCATAGGGGTTATTGAAGGCCATATAATGCTTACCTATCGGGAGCTAATGATGGCAACTGCATACTTACCCATAGGGGTTATTGAAGGCGATGGCATAGACAACATTGCGGTGTCCCTCCAAGGTATGGAGCTCCTCCCCGGAGGCTGTATCCCAGACCTTACATGTGCGGTCATAGCTACCTGTGATGAAACTGGAGCAAAAAAAGAAAAGTCAAAGCTACTGTCTCAGTAAATATTCAAGTGAAAATACAGAATATTTGTAAGCATATACCACAGGGATGTAAAATATTGTATTATATTTACTAGTACTGTACTAATTTGTTTGCAGTTTCTGAAAATTCTGTAAGCTCAACCTAAATTTTCGTAGTTAATACTGAAATGATTCACTAGCCCTAACATAAAATCTACTAGCCATAGGTGTTTTGATATTTGAAATTATACAAAATTGATCAAGAAACTAAAGTAATTTGTAGAAAGAGACTTGTCAGATTAGCTTAGTTATTGAGAGAGTCCACTTCAGGATAAACTTACAGTAACTAGTTGATAGCATGCAACATAATAAACTAAAATATTTGTCTGAAGGGCTATATGTTTTTAAAATAAACTAAATAAGATTTTAAGACACTGAATCTTGTGGATTTTTTTTTATTGAAATCATAATGTAGACTGCTTATTTACCCTTTCACCACTGTAGACCACAATGGACTCATCCAGATCAATGCATGGTAGAGTCTACTAAAGTTACATAGGGATGAAAGGGTTAACATAACTCCCAACACTAAATAGGACCTTACCTTGACCCAGACTTGTTGAATGCTACATTTGTTAATGGCAGTATGTGAGCTCTAAGCACCTGTAAGGCCAAGAAAATTATTATTTTAATAATGTGTATACATATGAATGTATATAACAAGACAACAATGTAATCAAAATGATCTAGACAGTAGAGCTTACAGCTGTCAAGTGACTAAGTGTCAATTTAGCATGCTAATATATGTCCAAGGATAATTCAGTGTTGGGGCACTATACACTAGCCCTCGGGTGTCCCAATCTGAGCTAACACGGGGACTACATCAGAAAACATGACACATGGGGACAACATCAGCTGGTATGGGGACAACATTGACTAACATGGGGACAACATCAGCTGGTATGGGGACAACATCAGCTATTATGGGGACAACATCAGCTGGTATGGGGACAACATTGACTAACATGGGGACAACATCAGCTGGTATGGGGACAACATCAGCTGGTAAGGGGACAGCATCAGCTGGTAGGGGGACAACAACAGCTGGTATTGCAACAAACATGGGGACAACATCAGCTAACATGGTGACAACATTAGCATATAACCTTGTCAATAAGCTTTTGAGTGATTTGAATATATAACTCAAACTAATATCACAGCCAACTGTGGTTGTTTCTATGTACCTGTGCAAAACTTGAAAACATCTAGATAGTCTAATTTCATACAAAAATTGATTATTTTAACATGATTTACACAGTATTATATACAAACCTTGAAAAGATAAAAGTGATGATCATCTCGTTGACTCAGCTTTTCTTGTAAACCTGTGCTTTGTTAAAGAAGGATCCCAGACTTTTTGGCAATATTTCATATTCATACAAAGTTATTTCCATATATTTAATAATTACAACACAGTACCCTATCCTAGTCGACCACTCCAGTACTAGACTAAAGCATGAGCTATTTTGAAAGGTTTTGATTTTCATATATCCAGGTGAAGGGCACAGAATTAAGGTGTATTCTGCTCAATCTTTTCCCCTTTAAATTGCCTATGGTCTGCAAGATTCAATAGAGGAGAATCTGACAATTTCTGAAGTACATTCATGTTAATTTGATTACCTACTAAATATAATATACATTGTAAAGCTAAATGAGAGTACCCTGCATGAAAATAAAAAATATATTTATATATCAGAGATCTTTTTTAATAATTTTAATTTTTTCCATGTCAAATATACAAATCAAAGAAGATTTTTATTTCAAATTCCTTTTTTTTCACTTTTTGCTACTTGCTTAAATTTCCAGTGTAGTCATATAGCACAAGCGTAACAAACAATTAATGTGAGAGTTTTTCCATCATTATATTTACCATATATTTTTTATGAAGAGTTAAATATGGCTTGAATGCTAGATACCAATTTGCTCAATTTGGGAAGGATTTGTCATTTTCCATCGCCATTTGGTCAACAGGCGATGAAGAATAAACACTGACGTCATGCTTTATGCCAGGCTTTTCAATCAATCAAAACCTTTCTGTTTGTCCGCTAGCAAATTAAAATAACATGCGTTTACCCTGGTTGACAAAGGAAACCAGTAACTTGTTAACATTTGTGTGTGTGTGTGTGCGTGTGTGTGTGTGTGTGTGGGGGGGGGGGGGGTGGGGGTTCTTGGAAGAGTGTACATGTTGGTCTATTGAAAAACTTAACATGTTCTATTATAAATAATACATGCTTATAAACTAACGAAATGTGCTGTTACAACGAAGACAGGGCAGAATTTGTTGTAAAGGATACGAATAACAAGCTTCCTGACTTGGTCTGTTTTGGAGGCTGTTATAAGAGGTTCCTTCCTGGCAATCTCCTCCACGACAGCATCAACATCAGTCCTTGAAACAAAATAGATGTCAGTCAGTAAATACAGTTTAAGCAATTAACCATATCCTAATTACAAGATAAAAGTTATAATAAGTTATCCGTCTCAAATTACCAATATTCCAATATTCTGGGTTCATTGTTATCATCATATCCAGGAAATTTCCATTTTCCTTTAGTGACCATATGAATATATAATACTGGCTACAAATTGTGTTTTTCTTACCAATGTAAGAGTCAGTTTTACTTTACAAATGAACTTACTCTGGTCGTAGGTCCAGCAGGTCTATGGATTTTGTTTTTACATTCCCTCCTTGTTCATATTCCAATATAATTCCTGGAAAAAAATATGTACATTTATGTAAATATCTTAAAATCAACATTTTTAGGACAATTATTGTATAGAAAATAAACGTGACAGATGTACCAAAATTAATATCCTGCCTTTTTGAAAAGCAGAGGACAGAATCCATAATCTATTATATATATATATGCAGACCATTTATTTTCTAAGACCATGTACTTGAGGCTACAACCTGTGTCTCTATGATACAACAAACCTATGCAAACTTATCATCCAGCTGTGTGATTATTAAATAAAACATCATTGGTTATTGACAATATCAATATGACAGATATTCAATAACTGAAGTGATAATTCAACACATATGCACATAATTCCAGTGGTTTACAAAATGTTCAATCTATTACATAGAATGAAAAGACATGATTTATGTGGAAAATAGAAGTAATTCTATGAACGATATATCAGTATAACTTTCTGCTACAATTCGATTTTCAACATTGATGCATATATATACATATCCTTGAAAACACATTTTCTTGGGGTTATTGACTGAATAACGAAACTGTTTGCAATGAATGGCAATATTTTAGTGCTCTGTGCATGCCACATGCTCAGAAAGCTGGGTGATGAGAACTGCAGTTAGTTATCGAAATACCTAATATTTCTATGCTTTATTATTTTATCTCTCCTAATAACACTTCTTTACCAATATCACTGAATGTGTTTTGTCAGCTATTATAAATTTAGACATCACAATCAATTAATGAGGTTGATGTCAGCCTCGTGCCAAAATATGCAGTGTTGGCTGGCTGGTAATTTTAGCGAAAAAATGGCTGCGCTTCCAGCCAACCACACCACAGGTCTCGGCACATGGCTGACGTCAACCTCATTAATACCCAAAAAGTAACTTGATGACTGCAAAAAACTTTGAAACTCTGAAATGGCATGTGTTTTTGGAAAAATTATCCATCTTCCCAGCGGTACTAAGCATTTTCCCGCACATCAACTAGAAATGTTGTATTTGATGAAAGAAAGGTAGGTGGGGTCAAATTTCTGACATTGAGAGCTTTCCATGTGCACCCTTCTCGTAACCGTATATATATATTATCATTGGGAGTGTCATTTTTACTGAAAGTCGATCTAAACTCCTAAAACATGTAAAATTACTCTGAACACCTTACTTTAGGTCCAAATATAGCTGTAACAAATTCTCAGCTTTGTGCTTCCAAAAAGATGTTTCAATATTTCATATGATTTTCGGCCATGTGACTAACTTTTCAACTTTGTACTTCAGGATAATCCTGGGATTTTTTTGCACAGTTTCCATGCACAGGAAAAGACGGCAAGATTCATTTTTGTGCAAGTAAAAAAGTGATGCAGTTTATGTGAAATGTATGCGAGATTTTCACGAAATCGCACCCCAGGATTATCCCTGTACTTTGCAAATTGCTTTTTGTTTTCTTTGTGTTGCTGATTTTATATTCTAAGATCCGTCAGCATTTTTAGTCTAAATTTACAAAAAGAAGGCCAGAACATTCTTTTCTGAAACAACTAGCTGCACAGAGTACTTTAAAGAGGGCGTTGCAGTATTTACAGATAGATAGAATTCACTTAAATAAGGCCTGCTTTAATTTGTGTTGGATATACACAACTTGAAATCTTATCAAAACCATGATACTCTGAAACTGTTAGGAGCAGGACTTTAATTCCCCTAGCCCTAATTTTCTATGGAGCCATAATAATCCATCTAAATGTCAAGCTTTTTTTTGGGTTGCTCAAAACACTTTTTGTATTTAATATTGTGATTTTTTTTCGTTTGCACCCAAGTGCAGAATCTTAAATACTCACTGTACTACTGAAATATCAATGATTAACTTAAGTACCAAAACGTTTTTCTTTGGGTGCCGAAACATCTAGAAAATCACGTATGGACAATGAATGCTAACTGTCATTTCAGTAACAAGTTGTTTCGCGAGTCCCAAAGTTGTTTCGGGACATAACACAAGACATTTCAGGACTTAATCAATTCGTTTCGGGACATATTAAATTTTCACTTATAAATTACATTTCGCTCCTGTTTCATATAAAGTCCTGTAAATACACAAGTATGGTTTTAGTCTAATGACCTGTGTCACGACCTGTGCTTGGGATCATTATAAGTGTTACCAGATTGCTAGAGCTTGAGGGGATACCTACCAACATTTACCTGATTGACAGTGTGTTGTTACCTGGTCAGACCTGCTAACCTTTGAATCTCCCAATGGGGGTCATGACCCCCATTGGGAAATTCTGTGGGGGGTGATAACGCTCGAACGAAAATTTGTGTAGAAATTTAATAATTGTGCGGGGTCTCTGCTTTACGGCGTATTATGTTTTGTCTTCTGGCAAGATCAATGACTTTTTTGAAATTAACAAAACATTTTTTCACACCTTCATTGTTTTATTACATATTCGGTGAAACTAATATTATTATTTAATACAGAGAGGTACATATGAAATTTTACATTCTATTTCTTTCGTTATTGATAGGTTCCTTGTTTTATATTTTAATAATATGTTTTCAATTTACTCTATTCTCCATTATTGACATTAAGACTAACAGAAGAATGACATCGATTTTAACAATGTTTGAAGCATCTTTTTGCTATATTGAAGTTAAATTTCATGAAAGTAAAAACGTGAAATAGGTAGAATATTTACACGTTTTAGACATGTCAATCAATTCATCAAATCCAGCTATATATATCTTTGAACAATGTTTTTATGTTGTGTATGTGTGAATATCATATATATATCATGATATAGGCCTATTTACTTAATGTTTTATTGAAATCATGTAATAGTAAATGTTAGCCCGAGTTTCCTCTGGCCCTAACACCAGACATTTTGACATTGTCCAAATTTATTTGACAATAAAATGTGTTTAAAAAAGACAATGGTATTTACAGAATTAAAAATCCCCAAACGACTTTTGACATGTCCCGAAACGGCCCGAATAAGGTCCCGAAACGAATTTCGTCTTGTTACCGAAACGACCCGACACCTGCACAATGCTATGTTTTGAGAGCAAGTACCAGGAAAATTGTGTCCAAATTATCTACTTTCTAACTATCTATGTTAGACCCAGTTTGGATTCACAACTTTCCGTTTTAAGCCGACTGTGGATCGATGCGGTACTTGACCGAATGTGTCACGGGAAGAATTCGTTTATTTTTTTTCAACTGCAAAATGAATGAATCACCCAATGAGAAAAAATTGACTTCACTACTGCATCATTAGTATGATTTGCTTTCAATTTATCTTACCAGGTGGATAATAGCGAAGTAAAAAGCGCTTCAGTTTCATTTTTGTTGGTCGGTGCGGTTTCTACCAAACATTCAATATGGCAGGCGATTTTTGTGCATTATGGGATACGTTTCCCGTAGGGGACGTAACTCTGCGACATAAAGTTGAGTTCCGGTTATTAATCCTGAAATCATCGATGAACAACTACATGGGACCAATACACAGCGCGTCAGGCTTTTGTAAGGCAGCACAGTTTTAAATTTACGTATAAGAAATAACGATATATTTTAGCTTAAACAAACTATATGTACGTAATGAAATATTCTGTGTTCGGGTGGATTCCATGGGCAGACCCCTTAGCCTAACAGCCCGATTGTTTTCATTGACTTCAATCTGTCCGTTGTTTGTTGTTTTGGAAAAGTTCTCAACAGAGAGATGTTGCTAGCTAAAATATAAACCTGGAACTAGTGGTAGGATGTTGCTTTGATGTCTGGCGAGACTTAACAAATACTGCCTAAGCCGGTGCGTCTAATTACCCAATACTACCCAATACTACCCAATACCACCCAATACTACCCAATACCACCCAATACTACCCAATACTACCCCATACGACCCAGTTATGAACCAAATACTTCTTTATTACTGTGAAATATCACCTTTGTAGACGTTATTTACTTCCATCTGCCATATTTTATCGGGAAATATGCGATTTGGTGCCGAAAACATCACCGAATTGCCGTGACTATGACCCAATACTACCCCATACCACCCAATACTACCCCATACGATCCAGTTATGAACCCAATACTTCTTTATTACTGTGAAATATCGCATTTCTTGAAGTTATTTACTTCTATATGTCACATCCTATCTGGACATATGCGATTTGGTGCAGAAAACATCACCGAAATGCCGTGACTAGGGGTTCGACGATTTACAGGAACGGGCAGGATCGGGCAGAAAACTATTAATTATTATATATACATTGATGAATATATATATTTAATTAGATACATTTAAGTATCATTATCGGGTATAAGATATATTTGATAAAAGAATTGCAATTACATGATACTATATTAATTCTATTCATGTCATAAAATGGTGTTATTAAGATCATATATATAAATTTAGCAGGAAATATTTAGAAAATTTTAAATTACTTTTCATAAATGTTAGTTATTCAATTTTGTTAAACATAACAGTATCAATTATATAACAATGCTGGAGAAGAACCTTCAGTTAAATTAGATACTCAAATACTACGAAATTCAAAAAGTATATGGATTGTATATGATTCGAAGTCCTTTCAATTACTTGATTAACTCACAGATAGTCTGTTTTGGACAAGCTAGATATTTTTTCCATATATAGTTCCCTGACCAATCTTATGAAGGGTAGACGAGTAGGTTGTCATTAAGTAATGTAAAAATTAAATAGATTAATAAAAGGAATTACGTTACGCTTCTTATACATCAATCCAGAGACGTATATATTACATTACGTAATATATACGTCTTTGATCATCCGAAAGCAAAATACTAAATGACATGAAAACTTGATTCGACTCCCAGAGATACTGTATACACATATACTTTATTCAACTCGTTGGCCATCTCAAGTAAATGTGATCTCTATAGATACATGGTAGATACCGTGATGTTGCAATTTTATTTAACATCTAAGTCCGTGATCTAAATCACAGTTACAGGTAAATATATATATTATAATTTAATTTTATAATGTCTTCCGAGGAATTACAAATTCCACTTGCAAACCACTTATATAATATGTACAGAAGACGTAGCAGTCTATGTGATTAGTTATAATTTTAAACAGTGTCTTGTAAGCCATTTTAGGCTGAACATCATATACAATTACATTTTCTATTTAATGCATTTGTTAAATATGATACCAGGTGTCAATCAGAAACATTTTTTTATGAAAATAATCTTCCGTTTAAATATAATTAGCTACTAGTTAGTGTGAATTTAGCAGACCTCGCTGGAAGGGGGCTCCCCAACCCTTGGAAATCTAAATTTCACTACAATGTAGAACTAGGAAATTATTCATTTTATTTATCACCATTGTTATTGTTTTTTTAAAGACATCATGTTTTAAGGCAGTAAATATAAAAGAAACCTTTTAACTATTATAGTATGTAATATGTAAGGACAAAATCCAGGAGTTTGTTAGGTAGGGGCTGTCCCAATCACCTGCTCTCTGGATTGGCACATGTGATAGTTTGTTTTAATTTATTAATGTATTATGTATAATAGCTGTTCTTAACAAAATTATGATATTATAAATTATGTAACTATATGTGTTTATACTGTGTAACTATATACTTGTACGATGTAATTGTGATATATGACACTATAATAAACAAAATTGACTTGACTTGACTTAACTATATATATATATATATATATAGAATATGCAATGAAGACGAAAACGGAGATAAATTTTGAATAGAATTGGCAAATAGAGGATTTCCCCCAAAATTACTTGTAGTCAACTAAATTAGAACAAATGTTTAAATAATTTTATTATGCAATGAACGTTATAAACGTATTGACGTACATGAACATTCTACGGATTTTTTTTTATTTATAACAACTATCGATATAATATGTATAAATATAGATTTGTTCCAATATATACTAAAGATACATGGTCGTGAAAAGTAAATCTACTCTTACTAAATACTCGTCAAATTTATTTAAACAAATTTAAGTCTTTAAAAACATCAAGTTATATGAATGCATAACCACGGACTTTATCTAATTCCGTGTACAATATCTAATTTTAAACATAAACTTAGTCCCGTGCAATTGAATAGATTCTTGATATATGAAATCCATTTAAAATCAGCGAAATCATTTTTATGTAAATTCAGCATAAGCTTGTACATTATACTAGACAATTTATTTTCACCTGTAATTAGTTTATACCAAAACATTATCATTCTAGATTTAATTTCAATATCCAGCGAGTACCTACCCGTTTCACCATATACCATTATATTTGCTGTGGAGCTACGTATGTTTAAAATTCTTTAACAAAACTGTACACGTAATTTCTCAATCATATTGGTATTTTCAAACCCCAAAATTACTTTTTGAAACGTATATAGATATTAAAGCATGAAGGATAAATATATTTTCAGTTGTAGAGTAGCCTTTCCTTAAACCAGCTTGAACATTGGAACAAGAAGTCTATTGTCTACTATTACGGAATTAGATAATCAGTTTTGACCACATCGGCCTTTGAAAAAAAATGAAACTTAAAGCGTTTCACCGTGTTTCTTTCTTCTTTACATATACAATTAATATACAGTATCGTTTTTCTATAACAGATAAGGCCTAACAATCCAACATATGGACTTCAATATTTATTTACGTAAAACACGTATTTCAATTAACTTATATTTACATATAGAATAATATTTAATTTTCAGATTGATGTCCCTTTTTTGAGTTGGAAAATTGCGTATTTTCTTTTTTTTAAGATCGTAGACGTGATGGGATTGTAATCTACACATTAACACCAATTAATTCACTCAAAATATATTCATGCTATTTATTAAGAGTTGAGTATAAGTTATGAAGTTATTAAAATTTAGTTATCATAATGTCATTTCCAATGTTTCAGGTGTTATGACATCGCAATAACAATGTCATATATATAAATGAGAAAATAACTCAGATACATATTTATTATATATGTAATATATAATTCTCTGAACAACCCTTTTTTATAGAATAAAACAGAGACATAAATTGGAACCTCGGCCTGGCAATTTATATATATATATATATATATATATTCCGATCCTGCCCCGTTCCTGTAATTGCAATTCTTTTATCAAATATACCTTATACCAGATAAGGATAATTAAATATATACAATAAATATATATAAATAAGTCCGATCCTGCCCCGTTTCTGTCCGTTCCTGTAAATCGTCGACCGTTCTTGCCCGATCCATATCAATACAATACTTTTTTTTAAATTCTTTGCAATCCTTTTATCAAATGACGTATCTTGTACCCGATAAAAAAGATATAATAATATAAATATAAATATAATTTAGTCCGATTCTGCCCCGAATGGCGATCATGTAATTGCAATCATTTTATCAAATATATCTTATACCCGATAATGATACTTTAATGTATCTAATCAGAGACGTATAAAGCCATAACTGTGTTATATACGTCTCTGATCTAATATATATATTCATTAATGTATAGGCCTATATAAAAATTAATAGATTTCTGCCCGTTCCTGTAAATCGTCGAACCCCTAGTCACGGCATTTCGGTGATGTTTTCTGCACCAAATCGCATATTTCCAGATAGAATGTGACATATAGAAGTAAATAACTGTGACATTTCACAGTAATAAAGAAGTATTTGGTTCATAACTTGGTCGTATGGGGTAGTATTGGGTGGTATTGGGTAGTATTGGGTGGTATGGGCACGGACTTAGATCTAATCTAATTCCGTGGTATGGGGTAGTATTGGGTCATAGTCACGGCAATTCGGTGATGTTTTCGGCACCAAATCGCATATTTCCCGATAAAATATGGCATATGGAAGTAAATAACGTCTACAAAGGTGATATTTCACAGTAATAAAGAAGTATTTGGTTCATAACTGGATCGTATGGGGTAGTATTGGGTAGAATTGGGTGGTATTGGGTAGTATTGGGTGGTATTGGGTAGTATTGGGTAATTAGACGCTGAATGCTTGATCACGAAATGACGAATGTCTGTCCGCAGGAACATTCACATTAATCAGGTCCAGTACACTCTGCCGATTGAGCTATATAGCTATAAAGACCTATATAGCTATATACACCTATACATTATAGCTGTATTGAGCTATATTTTCTCAGATTTCAAATTTCATTAAATTAAAGCAAAGTCGCATAAAACAATAAGGTTTATGATAATGTTGACTACAAAAAGCATACATTTAGATGTTTATTTTCATTTTTCATAAATGTAAAATTTCCGATTTTTTTACATCATTATTTTTTAAAAAGAATACCCATATTTAATGTCTTTTGTTATCAACTTAATGATACAATCTTCTTTTAAAAGCGACTTTGTTTCGTTTTCCTTAAAAAAGAAAATCAATTGAAAATAGCTCAAAAGACCTATTTCACATAGGTCAATAGAGCTATTATAGGTCTTAACAGCTATATATAGCTCAATCGACAGAGTGTACTGGACCTGTTAATGATACTCTCTTATGAAGGGAATTTTCATCTTGTTCCCAAGGCAATCCATAATTAAAATCACAAATTGATATTTTCATAATATAACGTAAAAGAATTAAAAATCAAAGAAACAGTGATTTGACATTGGTTAAACCATATACTGTATTCCAACCCTGACATATCGGAGATTTAATTCCTGTAGGAACTCTATCTAAATCAGAGATATAAATCTCTGATTTAGATAAAGTTCCAACAGGAATTAACCGGAGATTGTGAGGCTACCATCATCAATGTTTTTAAAATAATGAACAGTCAACCTGGCCGGAAGGTAACAAAAGGAATATTCGAGTTAGATACATCATCTAGAACAAGAGGACATATGTACAGAAAATCAGGAAAAAATATTGCAAGCATGATATTCGGAAATATTCGTTTAGTTTAGGGTTTGTCGAAATCTGGAACAGTCTCCCCAAATATGTTATTACATCGCCAACGGAAATTAATCTTGATACTCATTGGAAAAATCTTGAACCGAAATACAATCAGTTGGCCTGCCATAAAGAAATCTCAGGAAATGACAATTCATTTGACACTGAGACAGAGTCACTCCAAACTCTAGACAGATCGACACTCTACCAATTGAGCTACATGGTCACCGACAATCGACCCAGTCCATTTCCGCTACAATCCTCCCTCCTTTTTCTAAGTCTTCACCCCCAAAGACACAACTATATATACAACCCAGGTTTGGGTATTCCCTTGCCAAATGTATACCTAATGCTTGAAGTAAGGTTTGGTCACAGGCACCTCTGTTTTATTAAATGGAAAAATGCATGGCCTGACCGGGGTTTGAAACCGGGACCCTACCTGAATGCCAACAGTTGACCCAGTCAAGTTCCGCTACGATTGCAAAAGGGTGGGGTATCTAAAGTTTGGGTTATCTAAATTTTATTTGAAAATCCACATATGTTGCAGAATACAGTTTTTTTTTTTTATTGCTATGCTCTAATTGCTTACTTCATCAAACTTGAATTAATTTTAATGTTACACATTCTTTGTTTCTAGGGAAATCCCCTCTAGCTGAATCATTAATTAACGACTAGATCGGTCACAATGACCATTGTGGCAATATCGCATATCTGCATGTTTATGTATCAAATGCAGATATAAATTAAAGCATCTACTCATTTTCTAAACCAACCATTTATATCATTTCAGACAAGACGCCTGTCAGTAAAGGGCTGTTGGGAGTATCCCTGCTGTCATCATTCCTTCTTAACTTCCCCCTCCACAATCACAGACATCTGTTCCTCTACAGTCAGGCAGCCATACTAGAAAGGCATCAAGTATGTACAGTTTTTATTTTATTATAATAGTTATGGAAATATCAGGTACTAAGAAATAGGCTTGCTATTAACTACAGGTGTTAAGTAGTTTAATAATGTTCAGGTTTAAGGAAATATTTGCTTTAAATTATTATTCATGCTGGTAATGATGTACCGGTTATCATTAATGGCTTTGTAACAATATTTAAGTAGACCAGTTTGCTGAATAATAATTTAAAACTCCAAATTGAAGGAAAAAAGTATATCTGACTTTTTGGAATTGCTAAATGCCAAAAGTCAACAGAAATACCTGAATTAAGCGTTATACTTAGATGTATTGCTTTATTCCAAAGTGTTAAATGTTATTTTGTTGTTTATGTGATTGTCTTTCAGTTTTGGCGAGTGTTTACTTCCAAACTTGCATACCTAGACATCAAGGATCTGTTTGTGTGCTCTGTACTTATCTACTACTTCCGAGTGTTTGAGCGTCGCTATGGTTCCCACAAGTTTGCTGTGAGTTGATTAGTAGACAAGGGATGTTTAGCATCAGAATATAATAGACAAAGTGTATGTGGTACATTAAGACATACTTTAGTGTGGTGGCTCTACAAAGTATATGATTCACAAAATGTTCCAATTGATAATAAATCCTGTAAAAGTTTGCATTTATTTCAATCTGTTCATAGTCCCTCATATACTCCATATAGTCACTCATTCATCTTTTTACTAATTTATGGCATTTTGCTGTAAATAATTTTGTTAAAAGTCTAAAATTTTACAAAATATGAATAATCGTTTTCAGTTTAAAAATTGGTCATTAATTACAGAATGTTTGTTTAATTTTAAAGTCTTATCTCTTGCAGTCCCACATGTTGGCAACGTTTGTAATGGGGACAGGACTGGAAATTGCTGCTGCATTCTTCTTTAAATGGCTGGGGTTTAAAATTGAACTATTACCATCTGGGCCGTAAGTTTCAAATTCATTTTGGTTTTATCATTTTTCAATGACAAGTAAGAGTCTGAATTCCTTCAGATCAAGAAATTAGTATTAGTTATGTTACAATCTAAACAACTGTTCTAGTATATATATGGATTTCAAACTGTGTGAAGTGTAACATTGATTACATGATGTGTATGGTGTAACTTTGATTTCAGGATGTGTATTGTGTAACGTTGATAACATGATGCAATTGAGTAACTATGATAACAGGATATGTATGGTGTATATACTAGGATGTTGTGTAATTCTGTTAACAGAATGTGTATGGTGTATCCGCTGTTTATACCGTATCATTTTGACATCCCCCGAGTAGCTCTAGGCCATGTGCTGGGTGTACCTGTCACTGGCAAATCCTTCCAGTATTTTCTAGGACTACAGGTAAGTTGTTGTCTAAGAACCACAGGTAAGTTGTTGTCTAAGGACCACAGCTTAGTTGTCCTTTCAGTACATTCTAGGACTACAGACCACGTACAATAGTGATGAATCTGACAGTCTAGAAAACAATATATCACCTGCATTGTCCAAACGGTGTATACAAATAATTTTGATTATACTTTTGTGTTCACAGTCGTATATTAAAAGGTAATTATTGGGAAGATTTGTAATAATTTTATATTTTCATCTGCGCTCATAGTTATTTGACATATTATTTAAAATAAATAATTTGACAATCTACAGTAATAATTTAAAAATTTGGCCTATATATATCAAAAGTTTAATAGAGGACACTGTTTATGATCCTTAATTAGTTTATATTATACATATAGTGTACTGTGTATTTACAGTTAGCTAGCGGGTCAGTGGAGTCTGTCATAGTTGCAGTTTGTGGACTGGTGAGTGTTTAACCTTAGCAACTTTTGAGTTTTATAATTCCTATAGACAATATTAAATCTTCTGCTTTTACATGGTTTCAGTCAAGAGCAGTCATGCGAGTAGTGTTTCAATTCTTAACTATGTACTCCAAAAGTTAATGAAAATGGGGGTGCTGATAGAAATTGTCAGAAAACTTAAAATGTGTCACCTGGATAATCATGACCTATCTAAATATTGCAAAGTAACTTAACCTTTTCACCTTAGGTAACTTTAGTAGACTGTGCCATACATGTATCTGGATGAGTCCATTATTGTCTCACACAAATTGGTAAAAGGGTTAATTTCACAGGTCTGTAAATAGTGTTGTAGCATTTGATACTAATTACATGTCACTGTAACAAGTAAAACTGGTACATACAATAACATTGCTATCCTTTTCAAATGTGGAGTCCTATCATGTGATTAAGTATGTTAAAAATATGAATAGGAGATATACCTGTTGAAAAAATGGGGTCACTCAATTACTTAATAACATGCTTCATTTACTAATTTATTAAAACTTGTTGAGATGAGAATTAATAATTTGACAGCTTTGTATGGATTTCAGTTTTGTGGATACCTGTGGAGAAACAATTTTATGAAAGTACCAACCATATTGACAATACCTAAGTTTGTGGCAAGTATAAGCTACCGTGTTGTTGGATGGGCGCTGGATTCCCAGGTCCCACCAGGAGATACCATTCCAATGGGAGCAACACTAGAACTACAACGACAGGAACAGATGGAGCAGTTAGAACAACAGATGATATGGCAGACTGTCCAGCAGCAACAACAACAAGGCGGAAATGTCAACATGGCTGAGGTATGTAGGCAACACTGGGGGCCATGGCTCATGTAGGCATCACTGGGGGCATCAACTTGGCTCATGTTGAATAGGCAACACTGAGTGATATTGACATGGCTCATATAGGCAACACTGGGGCATCAACATGGCTCATGTAGGCAACACTGGGGTATCAACATGGCTTATGTAGGCAACACTGGGGACATCAACATGGCTCATGTAGGCAACACTGGGGGCATCAACATGGCTCATATAGGCAACACTGGGGCATCAACATGGTTCATGTAGGCAACACTGGGGCATCAACCTGGCTCATGTAGGCAACACTTGGGCATCAACATGGCTCATGTAGGCAACACTTGGGCATCAACATGGCTCATGTAGGCAATACTGGGGCATCAACATGGCTCGTGTAGGCAACACTGGGGCATCAACATGGCTCAGGTAGGCAACACTTGGGGCATCAACATGGCTCATGTAGGCAACACTGGGGCATCAACATGGCTCATGTAGGCAACACTGGGGCATCAACATGGTTCATGTAGGCAACACTGGGGGCATCAACATGGCTCATGTAGGCAACACTGGGGCATCAACTTGGCTCATGTTGAATAGGCAACACTGGGGGATGTCAACATGGCTCAGGTATCAGGAAGGATATAAACAGTACAGGTAGGCACTTGAGGTCATTAACATGAGTCAGGTAGGAAACACTGGGGGCATAATGACTCGGAGAGGTCAAAAACTAGGGATCATCAACTTGGTTCAGGTAAGCATCAGGAGGGATATCAACTAATTGGCTCAGGTAAGCAATATCACACAATATACTAGTAGTCCACACACGTGAGTGTATAATTTGTTTGATCAAATCAGGTAAATTTGATTGTAAATGGAGTCACAACCAGAAATTACCGGTCATAAAGGCTAATGAAACATATGATTTTGTATTCACTTTTAAAGTCTTTTGGGATTCTTGTGATCATCTGTATACTTATAAAGTCTGTATTCTGTCAGTGTCTGTATCTACAATATACTATTATTTGTAGAATTTGGTGAATGGTCCTGGACTCTTTGGAAACCAAATAGATCTTGGAGGTTTAAGAAACAGATTAAACCTAGGTAAGGATGCCAGAACATTTTCATTTGTATGCATATTCTGTAGTCTGTTTTGAAAGTCTTTATACATGCACATGTACCAATCATTTAAAAATGAGTTTGAACAAATTAATGGTGACAAAAATTCCATCCTGAGTCTTAAACACAAACTCTCATTATATCAGCAAATCTGAAATATAATTTGTTTCATATTTGTATGCAATAGTTTTAGATATATTACCAGGGTGTGTTACAACCACAAAGCAACATCACTAAATTACCTCCCCTGATCAATAAATATATTTCTGACATTTTTCTTTAGGGGGACTTGATCCACCTGGACAGCCAGCAGAAGAGCCAGTCACAGAGGAGAATGTAAGACATTTTAACTCAACCTAACCTTACAAAGTTTTCTAACAGATCTGAAACCTTAAAAACTAAGAGTATACAGTATTACAGACTTTACAAGCAAAGAATCACTACAAAAGAATTAGAAACAAAGAACATACTGTATACTGGGTAACTTTTGCTTAGGTATAAAATAATCACCCTTTTCTGATATAATCTGTGTTCGCCTGGTGTTAAGATTGCCCTTCATGTGTGTTCAGTTGTGTTCTACTATTTGCTGTCATGATAAATTCAACCTCACTGGGGAGGGCGAAAAATTGTATACAACATACCTACATTTCTCCGATGTAAAACTAAAAATATGTTAACATTCATAGATTAGTCTGTATATTGCAGTGAAGTTGGTTGAATAATAAAATTGTTTATACTACTGTATCTATATAGCGGTTATATTTCGGGGGTGGGGAGGGGTAATTTCGCTATATTCAAGCTGTGACTAATATCCGCGAATTCTAAACACCAACTTTATTGTCGAAAATGTTGACCATATTTACGGACATTATCACAACATGTCGAAAATGCTTATAATCCAATGCTGTTATGCAAGCTTAAATGAACTCAAATCAGATTATCACCGGACAACTGGACAGTCCATTTAAAAACAATACTTACATATAAGTGGCCACAACATATTTATGTGTTCACAGTAGGTGATTAATCGATAACAGTTAAATTCAACAAAGGTACATACACATTTTATGTGAAGTCACTGGCGGATGACGACGCTCGGGATCAGTGTTTTCAAACGGTTTAACTGTATTTCAAGGTTTAACCCTTCAATGATGACACTCAAAATACTTAGCACGACACATGGGATTGGGGTGCACAGCGACATTTAACCCCCGCGAATATGTACTGAATACGAAACCCTGAAATATTGACCAATTGGTATTTTATATATTTAGGGCAGTTATGGATGTTAAAGAAGTAGTGAAGTACTTGTAAATGTAATGTTACATGGTACTTAACTGGACGTGTATTAGATAGGTCCTGCTATAACTCCATTTCATCCAGTGAAACTTAAGACACTACAAAACACTACAAGAACAGTGACGATTTTGGTCAGGCGAACCCCTAGATATAAACTGTACACAAAGAAACTTCTCTCAATCAAACGTTTGCCTTTTGCTGGTAAAATCTATATTCACTGAGTGTTAAATATAGCTTTTAACGTTTGATAACACGGTTTAATTTGATCGCTGTAATGATAAGTTTGCCATCATTATGGAGTGCGAAAAAGGTGAATGTGAAATTGTGGCAGAAATTTCCGGGTACACAATATTATTACTATAGTAACAACTGCAAAACAAACAATGCATAGTAAATCTTTCTCTTGTTTGGAAGTCATGAGCACTCTTTTTATTTTCTTGCAGGTACAGCACTTAGTTGATATGGGATTCGGTGCTGACAGGGTTCGTGAAGCACTTCAACAATCAAACAACAATGTCAGTGCTGCAACAAATATTCTGCTGCAGGAGTCCTAACAAAGACTAAATATTCATCATAGTTTATTTGTCTCGGCTTCAAGAGTCAAATTCATTTGTCTCAACTTTGAGAGTCCAGTGAAAGATTTGTTGTTCATCAAATTTATTCATCATGGCTTCAAATTCTTACCAAAAGACTGTTTGTTCACCAAACTTACATAATCACAACTTGTAAAGTCTATTAAAGACTTACTGTTTCCTAAACCATTACGCATTGTGACTTTGGGAATCTAGGTAGGATTACTAAATCATCGTACATGTAACTTCAAGTGTCTATGTAGGCTGTGAGAAATCATTGTGACTTTGAGAGTCTATGTAGGACGTATGAATCATTGTCACGTGAGAGTCTATGCAGGACGTATGAATTATTGTCACGTGAGAGTCTATGTAGGACGTATGAATCATTGTCACTTCGAGAATCTGCGTAGGACGTATGAATCATTGTCACTTCGAGAGTATATGTAGGACGTATGAATCATTGTCACTTCGAGAGTCTATGTAGGACGTATGAATCATTGTCACTTCAAGAGTCTATGTAGGATGTATGAATCATTGTCACTTCGAGAGTCTATGCAGGACTTGTAAATTGTTGTGACTTCGAGAGTCTATGTAGGACTCTTAAATTGTTGTGACTTCAGGGTTTGCCAAGGACTAGCAAATCAATGTGACTTTGGGAATCTACCAAGACTAGAAAATCTCAGTGATCTGAAGAACCCACCAAGGACTGGTGAATTATTGTGACTTTGAGAACCCACCAAGGACTGGTGAATTATTGTGACTTTGAGAACCCACCAAGGACTGGTGAATTATTGTGACTTTGAGAACCCACCAAGGACTGGTGAATTATTGTGACTTTGAGAACCCACCAAGGACTGGTGAATTATTGTGACTTTGAGAACCCACCAAGGACTGGTGAATTATTGTGACTTTGAGAACCCACCAAGGACGGGTGAATTATTGTGACTTTGAGAACCCACCAAGGACTGGTGAATTATTGTGACTTTGAGAACCCACTAAGGACTGGTGAATTATTGTGACTTTGAGAACCCACCAAGGACGGGTGAATTATTGTGACTTTGAGAACCCACTAAGGACGGGTGAATTATTGTGACTTTGAGAACCCACTAAGGACTGGTGAATTATTGTGACTTTGAGAACCCACTAAGGACTGGTGAATTATTGTGACTTCATGTGACTATGTACCGAGGACTAGTTAACCATTGTGACTTTGAGAACCCACCAAGGACTGGTGAATTATTGTGACTTCATGTGACTATGTACCGAGGACTAGTTAACCATTGTGACTTTGAGAACCCACCAAGGACTGGTGAATTATTGTGACTTCATGTGACTATGTACCGAGGACTAGTTAACCATTGTGACTTTGAGAACCCACCAAGGACTGGTGAATTATTGTGACTTCATGTGACTATGTACCGAGGACTAGTTAACCATTGTGACTTTGAGAACCCACCAAGGACTGGTGAATTATTGTGACTTTGAGAACCCACCAAGGACTGGTAAATTATTGTGACTTCATGTGACTATGTACCGAGGACTAGTTAACCATTGTGACTTAAGGATTCTCATAAAGACTGAAATTCGTTTTTTGTAACTTCAAATTCCTGACCAAGGACATGTGAAATCAAATCATTGTTTGTAAAATCAACTTGACTTAGGATCCCTTTCTCACTGCAGTGGTTTTCGCATTTACAGTAACCTCGATTTGGATATAACTAGCACAGTTGGGCCAGGACATTTCTGTTGACCAGGTATGCGTAGCTCAAATGGCTAGATCGATTGAATACCAACCTGAAATCCAGTGTTTAAATTCCAGTATAACCCACTCAGAGCACTGTTGTTGAATGTATTTTGTTTATTTCATCTTTATTATTTCTCATAAAAGTCCCACAAGGTATGGCTATATTTTCAGAAATGATATTCCGTCTTTGCGTATTGCAGAGTAATCTTCTCTTGGGAGCAGGTATTGATTGTTACGTCACTTGTTTGTGAGAGTAACGTCATCAATTTTTGAGAAAACGACGTAATTTTCTCACACAAACCAATGACGTAACAATCAATCCCTGCTCCTAAGAGAAGATAACTCTGCAATACACAAAGACGAAATATCAAAGCTGTAGTCATATAGGGGAAAGCCGTTTCCAACACTTACAGTTTCTGGCAGTGGTACAGCGATCCTTTAGAGTTTATCAAAGTCTATAGCTAGTTGTTCACCAAATCTATTTCATCTTGATATCATACCTTCTACAAACACTTGCTGTTTTAATCATTGATATATCTGCTAGAAGCTAGGCAATTTAAAGAAATGCTGCCTTATTGAGATTTGTAACTTCATTCCAAAAGATTTTCTCATTAATGATATTGTGTGTTTTATATTATTAGAACTGTCTGACCATTTAATCGCTGAATTATTTGGAAGAAAGTGTCCGGATGGTGAGATCAATGGACTATTTTAATTCTTAGTGCTATGAAATAAAACATTCATTGGTTGTTGAATTTAAAAAGAAATACTGGGCATTCACAAAAGATGTTTATGTTCTAGACTGATCACTTTCTTCTGTCTGTTCTTCCTTCTCAAATTCATTTCTAGATAATATTGCAAGTTCTGATAACTAGATTACTTTCAACCTCTACATTGTGTTGATGCTTTTTCCTTTTTTGCGATATATGGTTTACGTTAATGTTGCTGTTACCTAGAGTACAGATTCAGATAAAATTTCCTCTCATTGTAATAACTGAGTTTATATGTGTTGTAAGTCATCAAAGTAATACTAACATTATTATTTGGATTTATGGCCAAGGTGAAGGTCACTGGTACTATGTACTCTGCACAGCTGTTGTTGACTGTTCTGTGTTGTAGTGTTTCCCAGAGGTTATGTTATTGCTATTCTTGGACAGAACTGTCTTTATACTGGAATAACATATCGAATAAAAATGAATTTGAGAAATAAGCCACTTTGTAGGAAAAAAATCAAAACACATTGATGCTTTACTGGAAAGATTTACTTCGCCACACAATGTACATGTACATCTGTATTGTTTCTCAAGAAATTGAATATGATTCTGTAGCATCATTTTTGATTAAACATATCCTTTATGAATATCCCTATTCTGTCATCATCTAATCATATCTTACTGCTTAGATGCAGGAACAAAATGGAAACTTATCATTATGTGTATGTTATTTTTGTTTGTTTGTCTAAATATTTTTTATTAAAACGTAATAAAGTCCATAGTGTTATTGAAAATAAATATTCTTACACCAACATATTACACCTTACATGGAATCAATCAATATTCATGAAGACATATTGATGCAATTACTGAACTCGCACCATTGTGTGAATTGTAAGGGAATCGAGCAATCACATTTAATTGTAGTTTTTTTATTATTTTAATTATTGTTATTTATCGACTGCTGACAGACAAATTTACAACACAGGGTTTCCCACACATAGGTCAGTCAAATTACATTCCATAGTACTTTAGATGCAAAACCGCCCTAGTCATTTCTAACAGTTATCCTAAACCGGTTGCTTCCAAGCTTTCCAATAATTCTGCAAACGCTAAATTATACTACTCCTTCATCAGCATGTTCTTATTCTACATTAAACAACATAGTGTAACAGAAGTTTCGACAAAATCAAACTCGAATCGGTAAAACAAGGGCAAAACATTAACAAAGAATATATTCGCATGGAGATCCTTGAAAAACTATAAGGAACATCAGACCAGGTGTTCCGGAAGCGTAAGCGTCTTCTGCTTCATCGACGACAACCCTAATGTAAATCTAGGTCAAATCCAAATTATGTCACGTCCTCGCACCGAAAACTCGATTAATGACAAGAAAACGACAATGCACACTGAAGAGCACAACAAAAATCGACCCTCCCTACGAGATAGTGATGGTGACCATGGAACTTGTCCATAGTCTTAATCAGCTTCATCTTTGGAAACCCTGCGTCGCCAGCCACTATCTATCTCGGAAGTCATGATATTCGGAGCAAGCTCTTGAATCAACAACGACAAGGGAATGTAATAGCGTTTACAGACAAAGATTACGTTGTTAGATGTGTTGTCTGCAGACACAACTTCACACCGATCATGTAGATCGTTGAGTATGGTTTGGACATCGGGGTTAAGAAGTTAACCTGATAGATTTAACCTTTTCTGAAAGTGAATCCAGTTCAGCATGCTCCTCTTTTTGCGCATTGTCTGGTATCTTGAATTCACGTTCCAGTTGATAGAGTCTCTTAATTCCGTCTTTGCGTATTGCAGAGTAATCTTCTCTTGGGAGCAGGGATTGATTGTTACGTCACTTGTTTGTGAGAGTAACGTCATCAATTTTTGAGAAAACGACGTAATTTTCTCACACAAACCAATGACGTAACAATCAATCCCTGCCCCCAAGAGAAGATAACTCTGCAATACGCAAAGACGGAATACGTAGTACCCTGTAAGAAAAGCTCCCGTCGCTTTGCTATTATTGATTGTCCAGTCGGACCATAGTTGTATGATGATGAGAAGTAAGAACAAACTGAAGGAGGAGTTATTCTTAGGTCGTTTAAATCAGCAGCTGAACAGCGTTTACTTGTAGCTGAAAAACTTGGAAAGTTATTGGTTTAGAATAGTTGTAAGGAATGATTGTGATATTTTTGGATATGAATTATTAATAATGGCCTCGATCATCTTGTTGACTTTCACGGAATCTTGTGTTTCCGGAGAGTCGTGACCATCAGTTCAAACGGGCATACTGAGTCTAATTGGTGCCATATCCTCAGCAATTTTATGAAATCTCCAAGCTAATTTCCAAAAAAATATGTCATCAGGAACAGTTTAAGTAGAATCCTCTATATCATCAGATATGGTCGAGTTAGGCACTAAATGGTGATTTAATAGTAAACATAATATATAGAGTTTTCCTCGTAGACCCCACCAGAGACATACAAAGCCATAGCATTGCATACGTGTCTGACCCCACGGATCATTCAGAATGTGAGTTTCAAATAACTAATGTATTCATAGACAGATTACCTAAGACAAGGTCGAAGCAAAAACATGCTGAATAATAATCTTCATATTCTGAGCAAACCCGCGAAATTAACTTTCGTCTTTATTGAAAACGAAATATGTTAATCTACGTTTGCCAAGAAGGAGAGAATGAAGTTAAACATGATAAAAAGGGATGTAAAATGTGGAGAAAACTACATGTAATATCACCAAATGACTGACGTCTGCGTTGACGTTGAGTATGGTGGTTATACGCTACATGCATGTTAAATGTTTCTCTTTAGGTTTGACGAGCCCCTTAAATGGACTGACACCACAAATTTCAACCCTCTGGTAGGTCATATTTGAAGAGTCCAATTATACATCATGCAGAATTCAGATATGTAATCGGGATATATTAAACTTGTACTTTACTTATTAAGCGGTATATAACGACGTTTACTTAATCTGTAAAAACGCAATAGGGTAAATAATGAATTCATAAAATCAGTCCACCGACATTATCGCATACACCTTTTTCCACCTAATAGAATAAAAGTTTATCTGTATACATGGTTCATACTGAGCTTGAATTCTCTAAGTAGTGGAAAGGCAAATGCTGCCTTCAAACAAGATGGCTGTGGCTCTATGGCACCATAAAAGTCATCATAAAATTCCATAGAATGTTAAGAAATGGCACATCATCTAAAGTTCATTTCTCAGACTAAATTACTTAGCTTTCGTTTTTTTCATTTAGTCTTTTAAAATATATCACTTGGTTATTTTAGTCGTGTCGCATGACCACTACCAGATACCATATTCTTACGAGGCCGGTATGCCCCCTACAACTAGTCAAAGAAAAATCAAGCTCCGTAAAACCCGGAAATATCAATAAACTTAAGATACTAAGTCATTTCGTACATACATTTAGGTTGTAAAAGAGATTGACATGTTATAGTGCAGGAGAACCACTTTTACATCAGCCTTCCAGCTGTAGTATGGATTAAATTAACGTTGCTATCTGCCATTTTAATAGCTGAAGTACAAGTTCATATATGTTAATTAAAGTATCGGGGGTTGAAATTTAGGATGACAATACCATATTGGGGACTTGTTGAACCGGAAGTAATTCTGCAATGATTCGTTGTTCGTTAAGACACTTTCGTAACTCAGAGATCCAAAAGTTAAATCTGTATGAGAATTTAACCATTATTCTTATTTTATACATACATGGATGTACTAGTAAATGATTCGAGGCTGATGGATGTTTAATTAGTATCTAAAGTCATCGATTGTTGGATTGCCGACATTCTATAAAAATAAAAAGCTCTTTGTCTCAACAGTTTAATTTATAATTATATTCGTATAATTAACAGTTTTACATTATCCTCTTCTGCTTCAACAGCAGTTTTGGATTTTCAGAAACTTTTTGACCCCAAGCATCACTGATGAGTCCTAACATAATCACTAAAATTGTTTAATCAAGCGTTCAGTTTGAGTTGAATAGACCTTGCTGCTGTTCGTTAACGTTGTGGCTCAAAGGATATGTCTAAACTAAAAACAGTCACTCAGACAAACGATTAACGATTAATAATGATTAATCATAGCACAGCTCAGATAAAAGATCAGCTATCGATCTTAGTTACCGCAACTGTGATTAAAAAGGTAACTCAGCCCACCACTAGAGGAACAATTAAGAGCTGTAGGAGAACAGCATAGCTCGCNCCCCCCCCGATTACCATATGCAAAAATTAATTGCTTCAAAATGAAGAACTCATGATGATACTGTTTAATTTGATATGCTAAAAGACTCTTTTTTTTTTAAATATTTAAACCCACCCCTCAGGCCTGGCCCCTGTTGTGCACTCAAGATACAAAGACCCGTGACCCGTATACCCCTTGTAATATCACGTGATTCCACTGTATTACTGCTGAGAATCACGTGACATGACCGTATACCCCCTGAGATTTCGTATACCCCCTGAGATTTACGAATGCGGTTTGGTACATTGTAGTTTTTAACTTAAGGGGTAATAAATAAATATACCATGTCTCAAATGTCAAGTTCCTAATTCTTCGGAGATGTCGTTTTAAGGCATACCGTCAAATTTGCCCCTTTTGTCCCCGCCCATCTGTCCCCCTACATTGTAGATCAGGGACTTTATTTGTACACTCTTGAATCCCCTTCCCCTAAAGATGCTCCCTGTTCAATTTGGTTGAAATCTGCCAAATAGTCCAGGAGAAGATATCGTTTAAAGGCATACCCGTTTTGGCCCCTCCCACCTGTCCCCTGGGGGGTCAGGGAACTCATTTGTACAATCTTGAATCCCCTTTCCCTAAGGATGCTTCCTGCCAAATTTGGTTGATATCTGCCCAGTAGTTTCAAAAGAACTAGTCCTTGTCCTAAAACTTTAACCTGCGGAACTTGTCCTAAAACTTTAACCTGCAGAACTTGTCCTAAAACTTTAACCTGCAGAACTTGTCGTAAAGTTTTAACCTGCAGAACTTGTCCTAAAACTTTAACCTGCAGAACTTGTCCTAAAACTTTAACCTGCAGAACTTGCCCAAAAACTTTAACCAATTCCAAAAGACTTGTGTTTTGGACCAATAATGACCAAATATGGTCCAATTTGTTGCTCAGGAACCTCCAAGCAATTACTGTAACCATATTACAATGTAAAATTAATTAAAAGTTGAGTTAAACACCAACAAACACAGCTTGCACAAACACTTGAACCAAGTGGGACGGCGACGCCGACGCCATGGGTACTACTATAGCCCCCCCTATTCTTCGAATAAACGAGCTGAAAAAGAAATATTTTTCTTTCCACCACTCAAAAAATAAATCTAAAATGCTCAAACTGCCACTCAGAGGAATAGGAAAGATGACCTAAAACGCCACTAAGATGAATAGAAAAGATAACTCATACCGCCACTAAGAAGAATAGGAAAAATCAATCATACCGCCATTCAGAGGAATAGGATGGATGAATCATACCGCCATTCAGAGGAATAGGAAAGATGAGTTATGTCGCCACTCAGAGGAGTAGGAGAGATAAATCATACCGCCACTCAGAGGAATAGAAATATGAATCATAAAGCCACTCAGATGAATAAGAAATATGAATCATTCAGCCATTTAGAGGAATAGGAAAGATGAATCATACCGCCACTCAGAGGAGTAGGAGAGATAAATCATACCGCCATTCAGAGGAATAGAAATATGAATCCTAAAGCCACTCAGATGAATAAGAAATATGAATCATACCGCCTGCCACTCAGAGGAATAGGAAAGATGAATCATATCGCCACTCAGAGGAATAGGAATTATAAATCATACCGCCACTCAGAGGAATAGAAATATGAATCATAAAGCAACAAAATAAACGAATACTTTAAAACAAACTATAAGAAGATTTTATTTTAAAATGGCATGTTTATGTACAATGACATGTTCCTACAGAAAAAAATCTCGAAGATGCTAAAAAACACGGAAGTTTCGGTCTTTCATCGGTAATCGAATGCATACTGAGACCATGGGTGTTTCCGAATTCTTTTAGTGGTAATTGTATGTAATCTGTGAAGATGAATTTTTCCTGTCTTTTATTTGTAATTAAATGCGTACTGCCACCAAACACGACTCGGTATATATCAGTAATATTATGCATACTGCCTCCACGTCCGTTAATCTTCAGTCTTTTTGCGACCAAGTGTGGATTTTGTAATTACCAGTGTCAACTTCTGGCGTAATACCTCATCACAAATGCCATTCAAGCAGGTTGTTGGTTGGGTTGTAATATTATATAATGTTCATTCCTAGTATGATACAGGTATTTAGAGAAAGAATACTTATATAAACGACGTAATGGTGGTACGACAACAATACAACTACACACATCAAGTAGGCCGACTTTTGGAGCCCTTAACAATCACTGCATGCACTATATTAAAATTAACAGAAATACAAAACTGTCACTTCACTTCCAAACTGTGTGGTAAACTGTATGAAAACATCCATTTCATAATCGTTATCTTCCCTCGGCTGTCATTTTTTCAGGGTTTGTCGTGAGAACAATTTTCTCATCGCAAGCATGTCGATAAAATTGAGAGGCCACCGCAAAATGATAAACTGTTTATCATCTATACACTACTACCTTATATATGTCTCTATTTAAAAAAAAGTCAACTAAACACCATATGTTTTCCAAAGGACTTCTTATCAAGTTCAATGGTCATCGATCGCAAATCCTCGGTCTGTGACAAACGTTAACAACTAGAAAACTTGCGCGGAGAAATACAAAGAACCTTAAAACTACGTAGAAAAATATTTTAAAACAATCCTATCGTCATTGGTTTTTCCATATGCACATTTACGCTTGAAACGCTGTAACTGTCCTCAAAATATGTTTTCGTAACTTTATATTGATTTGTTTATGACGGACTATTTTCATTCGCGGATCACTTTTGTGTGGATATCACTTCCGGTTTAGGACATCGCATAGCGCAAGTTGTTTTTGGCAAAATACGTTCCGAAATGCTGGGAAATGGGAAAATTTGTTCTCATGTTGTTCTCAACTCTCAAGTCGATCTCAACTCCTTCTTGAGTTTGCATACTGACAACCCAAGATAATGAATTTATCATGATACCGGTAGGTGGTATAGCATTCCCGTGTACTACACTAGTTAAAAGATTCATCCTTCAAAGTATTCTCTAAATATAAGATATCCGGGATGCGTCCTGATGACCATGGATATTCCTCGCTCATCATAACGTACTTATACATTTTCAATTATAAAAATTGTTCGATAGTGATTGAAAACTTGTAAACTAATTAAGCTTCAGTGATCCCTGAGCACAGTTACTCAAGAGTTGTCTACTCAATTATACATTTGTAGGTTAAACAAAATACATCTATGTCTACACGCATCACAAATTGTAAAAAAAGGAGCACGCCTTGAACTGTTCGTTGTGACGATGACAATGACCTGTGACAACACATACATGTCGCGTCATTTCCCCATCACATTCCGCTTCATCAGTTTCAATGCTTTTGCTATTGTAGGGAGGTCGATAATCACCAGGCCTCCGAATATCACCGCCATAATGGCTCCGCCCACATAACCCATGATCTTTGACGAAATGCGCATGTCGGGTGCACTGTTCTTTCGTCTGATGGTAGAAGAGAGCGCAGACTTGTTTACAGCGAGGCTTTGCTTGAGTTTTACGACTTCTGCCTGCAAGGCCTGCAGCTCGGAGCTGTTGATTTGCGTGTTCCAGTTTCGGGGTAAGTCCTCATAACACTTTAAAGTTGAATTCATTTTTGTTTCCCCCGTTGTAACTGGTGTTATTCGTGTTGTGTACCGTTGTGAAGTGGATGTCTGAGTAGTTAATATTTGCGTAATTGATGTTTGCCTTGGCGACAGTTGTTTTGAAGTTGTCTTTTTTTCTTGAAATGGATGTTCAGAGGTTTGTTCGTGAGATGGGTTTTCGGATGTTTTTTCTTGTGAAGATTTTGCTGTTGTTGTTTCTGAGAGAGGCGCTGGAGCTTCAGCTACTATGTCTGTTGGTTTTCCGTCTGATGGTTCTGTGAGGTCCGCTTTACACATACAGACAAAGATACAAACAAGTTAGTTGTACATCCTCTACGGATTAAACACACTCATATACCCTTCCACGGGAAGCATATTCGTGTCCTTAAGTAATATATACAGAACAAATTGTTGCTTTGGAGTATTTACCATAACAATAAACACTGACTGTGTACTATTGTATTACTAACCATATTAATAACTGTGATGCACTATTGTATTACTTACCAAAACATCAATGTCTGTGATGTACTTTTGTATGATTTACCATATCAATGTCTGAGTTATACTATTGTATTACTTACAATACCAATGTCTGTGATGTACTACTGTATAACTTACCATATCAATGTCTGTGTTGTACTATTGTATTATTTATCATAACATTAATGTCTGAGTTGTACTATTGCATTACTTACTAAAACATTAATATCTGTGATGTACTATTGTATTATTTACAATATCAATGTCTGTAATGTACCTTTGTATTACTAACCATATTAATGTATGTGATGTACTATTGTATTACTTTCCACAACATCAATGTCTGTGATGTACTATTGTATTATTTACCACAACATCAATGTATGTGATGTACTATTGTATCATTAATCATAACATCAATGTCTGTGATGTACTATTGTATTACTTACCATATGAATGTCTGTGATGTACTATTGTATTATTTACCATATCAATGTCTGTGATGTACTATTGTATTACTTTCCACAACATCAATGTCTGTGATGTACTATTGTATTATTTACCATATCAATGTATGTGTTGTACTACTGTATTCCTTACCATATCAATGTCTGTGATGTACTATTGTATTACGTACCATAACATCAATGTCTGTGGTGTACTGTTGTATTACGTACCATATCAATGTCTGTGATGTACTATTGTATTATTAACCATATCAATATCTGTGATGTACTATTGTATTATTTACCATATCAATGTATGTGATGTACTATTGTATCATTTATCATAACATCAATGTCTGTGATGTACTATTGTATTACTTTGCACAACATCAATGTCTGTGATGTACTATTGTATTACTTTCCACAACATCAATGTCTGTGGTGTACTATTGTATTATTTACCATATCATCTACAACATCAATGTCTGTGATGTACTATTGCATTACTTTCCACAACATCAATGACTGTGATGTACTCTTGTATTACTTTCCACAACATCAATGTCTGTGATGTACTATTGTATTACGTACCATAACATCAATGAATGTGATGTACTGTTGTATTACATACCATATCAATGTCTGTGATATAGTATTTTATAACTTACCATATCAAAATCTTTGATGTACTATTGTATTACTTACCATATTCTCAATGTATGTGATGTACTATTGTATTATTTACCATATCAATGTATGTGATGTAATATTATATTATTTACCATATCAATGTCTGTGATGTACTATTGTATTACATTACGTATCAATATCTGTGGTGTACTATTGTATTACTTAACGTATCAATATCTGTGGTGTACTATTGTATTATTTACCATATCAAAGTCTGTGATGTACTATTGTATTACTTACCATAACATCAATGTCGGTCTGTGATGTACTATTTTATTACTTTCCACAACATCAATGTCTGTGATGTACTATTGTATTACTTTCCACAACATCAACTTCTGTGATGTACTATTGTATTACTTACCATATCAATGTCTGTGATGTACTATTGTATTACTTAACGTATCACTATCTGTGGTGTACTATCGTATTATTGTATAACTTACTAATTTCTGTGTTGTACTTTTATATTACTTACCATATCAATGTATGTGATGTACTATTGTATTACTTATCACAACATCAATGTCTGTGTTGTAATATTGTATTATTTACCATATCAATGTCTGTGTTGTACTAGTGTATTCCCTACCACATCAATGTCTGTGTTGTAATATTGTATTATTTACCATATCAATGTCTGTGTTGTACTACTTGTTTCCTTACCATATCAATATATGTGTTGTAATATTGTATTATTGACCATATCAACGTCTGTGTTGTACTACTGTATTCCTTACCATATCAATGTCTGTGATGTACTATTGTATTACTTACCATAGCATCGATGTCTGTGTTGTATTATTGTATTACTTACCATATCAACGACTGTTATGTACTTTTGTATTATTTACCATATCAATGTCTACGATGTATTATTGTATTATTTACCATATCAATGTATGTGATGTACTATTGTATCATTAATCATAACATCAATGTCTGTGATGTACTATTGTATTACTTTCCACAACATCAATGTCTGTGATGCACTTTTATTACCTTCCACAACATCAATGTCTGTGATGTACTATTGTATTACTTTCCACAACATCAATGTCTGTGATGTCCTATTGTATTACTTTCCACAACATCAATGTCTGTGATGTACTATTGTATTATGTACCATAACATCAATGTCTGTGATGTACTATTGTATTATTTACCATATCAATATCTGTGGTGTACTATTGTATTATTTACCATATCAATGTCTTTGGTGTACTATTGTATTATTTACCATATCAATGTCCCTGGTGTACTATTGTATTATTTACCATATCAATGTCTGTGATGTACTTTTGTATTATTTACCATATCAATGTATGTGATGTACTATTGTATTCATTACCATAACATCAATGTCTGTGTTGTACTACTGTTTTACCTACCATATCAATGTATGTGATGTACTATTGTATTCATTACCATATCAATGTCTGTGTTGTACTATTGTATTCCTTACCATAGCATCAAAGTCTGTGTTGTACTATTGTATTACTGATGTACTATTGTATTACTTTCCACAACCTCAATGTCCGTGATGTACTATTGTATTATTTACCATATCAATGTCTGTGATTTACTTTTGTATTATTTACCATATCAACGTATGTGATTTACTTTTGTATTATTTACCATATCAATATCTGAGGTGTACTATTGTATTATTTACCATATCAGTGTATGTGATGTACTATTGTATTACTTACCATAACAATATCTGTGATGTACTTTTGTATTATTTACCATATCAATGTATGAGATGTACTATTGTATTCATTACCATACCAATGTCTGTGTTGTACTATTGTATTATGTACCATATCAATGTCTGTGTTGTACTATTATATTACTTACCATATCAATGTCTGTGATTTACTATTGTATTCCTTACCATAGCATCAAAGTCTGTGTCGTACTATTGTATTACTTACCATAACAATATCTGTGATGTACTTTTGTATTATTGACCATATCAACGTATGTGATGTACTTTTGTATTATTTACCATATCAATGTATGTGGTGTACTACTGTATTCCTTACCATAGCAATGTCTGTGATGTACTATTGTATTCCTTACAATAGCATCAAAATCTGTGTTGTACTATTGTATTACATACCATATCAATATCTGTGATGTACTTTTGTATTATTTACCATATCAACGTATGTGATGTACTTTTGTATTATTTACCATATCAATGTCTGTGTTGTACTATTGTATTACTTACCATATCAATGTCTGTGATGTACTATTGTATTACTTTCCACAACATCAATGTCTGTGATGTACTATTGTATTACTTTCCACAACCTCAATGTCCGTGATGTACTATTGTATTATTTACCATATCAATATATGTGGTGCACTATTGTATTATTTACCATATCAATATATGTTGTGTACTATTGTATTATTTACCATATCAATATATGTGGTGCACTATTGTATTATTTACCATATCAATATATGTGGTGTACTATTGTATTATTTACCATATCAATATATTTGGTGTACTATTGTATTATTTACCATATCAATATCTGTGGTGTACTATTGTATTGTTTACCATATCAATGTATGTATTGTACTACTATATTACTTACCATATCAATGTCTGTGATGTAATATTATATTACTTACCATATTAATGTCTGTGATGTAATATTGTATTACTTACCATATTAATGTCTGTGATGAAATATTGTATTCCTTACAACATCAATGTATGTGTTGTACTACTGTATTACTTACCATATCAATGTCTGTGATGTACTATTGTATTACTCACCATAACATCAATGTCTTTATTGTACTACTGTATTACCTACCATATCAATGTATGCGATGAACTATTGTATTACTTACCATATCAATGTATGTGATGTAATATTGTATTACTTACCATATCAATGTCTGTGATGTACTTTTGTATTATTTACCAAAACAATGTATATATTGTACTACTATATTACTTACCATATCAATGTCTGTGATGTAATATTGTATTACTTACCATATTAATGTCTGTGATGTAATATTGTATTCCTTACAATATCAATGTATGTGTTGTACTACTGTATTACTTATCATATCAATGTCTGTGATGTAATATTGTATTACTTACCATAGCATCAATGTCTGTGATGTACTATTGTATTATTTACCATATCAATGTCTGTGTTGTACTATTGTATTACTTACCATATCAATGTCTGTGATGTACTATTGTATTACTTTCCA